GGGTCGCGGCTTGGTGATTCGCTGAGCATGGCCAGGTCACGTGAGGTGGTGGGTCGCGGTCCAGGGTGTGAGGGGCCGTGCCGCATGTGAAGCTCGACCTCGACCATCCGACCGGGCTCCTTGATGCTAGTCACGGCTGATGTCCCGGCAAGGATGAAAAAATGCCTTTTTTTTGTCACCAATGGAATTTGGAATCGCTGAATTGTCACCTGGAGCCAAATTTATCAGGAATCGTTCCAATACGACTCTAATTTTATTAAACCACAAAACAAACAAATTTAATGCAATGCAGCACAACCATCAAACATTTTCGTTTGGGAGTTCATTTTCACTAAAGTATCACTTGTTGGCATCAAACACTGAATGATGGTTAAGACAAACCAGCTTAGAGGTTTGTGATGATGATGATTTTAGGGCGCATAGACATCGAAGGTCAAATCACGTAATATCGGCCTAGAGGTGTGTGGTTTGCTTTTCAGTTGGGGAGGGGCTGCCTCTCCTAACCAGAGATGTAGTGTCCTCTTTTATCCATCATTTGTATTTCTCATTTTTCATCCCCATTTTTTAGGTTCTAGCCCCACAACTTATTCTGAGAAACTATGCCCCTCCTCAAATTCCAAAAAGAAAGTTCGTCAAATCTGGGGAAAGGATTGTTTTAAGTGGATTTCGGACGTAAGGCCAACATTTTTCTCCTGCACCCCACCCCTGTCTTGTCACCTGTTCATTCGCGCCTTCTCAATTCCGGATCACACGCACGACGCTCCACAGTTGACGTCTGTATTTGAACTGCACCACCGGAGTCCAACGGAATCGCGTCAAGGTACACCGTGGCGCACAAGGCACGATAGCGATGTGGGGGAACTGGCTCCTAAATTGAGGACGCTTTACTTTTACCTGGGACATCACATGACAGCCCCCTCCCTCACCCCTACGTATTTTGCAAATATGCATCCTTTTGGCTGTTCATCTGCCGATAATCTGATTCTACAAGCACCTGAAAAATATCACTGCTGGTTTTGTGACACCATTGTACAATCAGCAGGAAGCGTTGGCGAGCTTTACTATCTTTGCATAATCACTGGTATCACTGGTACAGGTCTCTCACTTCCTAACGTGATCCCAGCCAACTAGTGCAAAACCCGCGCAAAACTGGTCTGAGCAGGTGCGAACGGAATTTTTTGATACCTCTGGCGCCTTCATTTAGCTCTAAATGATGACAATGAAAGCGTTTTATCTCACGCCTGTCTACCGCTCAGAACGCTAAGTCCGAGGTGCGACGGAGTGTGAGAGGTCTTCACTTGCGATGCTCGGCATTTTATCTCAAAGCCGTTCTTCCACGCAGCAGCAAGATTTCCTGAATGAATCTTTGATATGTGTCGTTCCAACGTCCTTCGTTGGCCTCTGAAGCCACCGTTCGGCTATCAGCAAACGATGAGCCTCATAGGTCGGCAGGACATTTTCACGCCGTTACCCGGTGACGCCCTCCATGGTGAATCTTAAAGCCGCACAGCGCCTTAAAAAAACTGACGATTGGCTACGTTCTTCAAGCTTCTCAGCTTCTTACACGAACACAACCAACGGCAGCCCACAGCCTCGCGCTGAACCCAAATCATTACTGTGTGGCGAACATTGAAGCCATGCGCGACGCTTTAAAACGCTGCCTGGCAGTCTGATCACGTCCTCGCAAGGTGCTGCGGCCAGCCACCATTCTCACGACTAGTAATAAGCCTAGTTATCTGGTATATTGCCCTGTGTAGCATGTGAAGCGAATGTTGGCCGACAAAAAATCCGTGGAAGGACTGATCTGAGGGGCATTGGGAAAACACTGTGTCACCACTGACCCGTGACGTCAGCAGTGAAGTATAATTTTCTAGTATATGTCTGTCATCCACTTACAACTATCCTGATTAAAGCTTCTATCTTGTGGCTCAACTTGCTCATACAGCGAAACGTCAACGTTTCGACATGCGCTCTGCACAACCCCACGCTGCGAGCGTTAGCGAATGCAAACTAGTACTAAGTTTTGGGCTTCATCTAGCTAGGATGGTCTGCTGTAATATGGTCTGGTTGGTTGTATTGTTTCCATTGTCGCGATTGTCACCAGTCTACTCACAAAATTGTCCATTTTTGTTACCAGTGGTATCCGGTAAATGAGAAGATTTTTCACCCTTGTATTTTGGTCCCTATGCATTGGTTGGAAGTGATTTGTTGTGTTCCTGGACGTCAAGGCGCACGCATTGCCCCTTCCGGTCGTGGTACAGCATAACGCACATAACTATCGGTGACTGTATGCGCTATACAACGTGGTCTCCTACTCCATGTGGTGTACGGTGCACACCTCATGGGAGATGGGCGCGCTCCGCAACTCCCTGCAGCACCAGCATCTTATGCCAACGCCGCCCGCCGCAGCCCGCGCGCCAGACGGCAGCAGCTGGCTCGGCCGGAGCCGTCGCCAGCGCGGCGTCAGCCCTCGCCGGCCGGAAGTGCAGGATAGCCGGCGTCGGCGGTGATGGTGGCCGACCCCACGGGCCATGCCACCGCAGCCGCCGGCGGGCCCGCGCCTCGCCGTAATCTCACGCAATCGCCGCTACGGGTTTATTGCTTCCGATGTTGACGGTTATCGACGTCCAGTCTGGGAAAGCGGACCTCGTGATTGCCTCGGGTTTTCCAGAGAGAGGCTTGGTGGCAGGAATCGATTCGTCTCGTTTGTTTGTTCTTGGAACGTGAGTGATGCAAGTCCACCAACTCTTATGAGCAATTGACCTCTCGTGCAGCCCTGTAATTAGTGATATCTCTCAGTTTTCCCGCATACGCGTCTGGAGTCCCGCTTCGATCACGGATATAGCAAGCAAACCGCAGGGGCCTGTGCTGCCTACTGCTCTAGCAACTTGACATGTTTGGCGGCCAGACACGTGCCCGATTTTCAATGATGGGTGACGGGTCCCGCAGGGTACTCCCTCCACCCACCCATAACGAGATCCAGAACGAGTTTTCGGGGATCCATCTCGGGGATCCGGCACACGTCTGCCAGTTGCTGATGGCGATGTCGGGGGTTGGCAGTTTGGTTGCACGTATCTCCGGGACTAGGTGATGGAAGCACCTCATCACAACTTCCAACTGGCCGTGCTTCGGCAGGTAATATGCCTGGTGAGCGAACCTGCACATCCTGGTAGACGGGATACATTATTGAATTTGAAATTGTAATCAATGACACCGCTCGAACCGCTTCGATAATGCTGCAAAATACTTCTGAAATGACCGGAGTAGTTTAGAAAGCCTCATGTGCTGACACAAACCGTCGTCAGCGGTACGCGGTCTGCTCTCACGCGGGAGTCTTAAAGCGCATAGTGACGCACGCCCCAGGCACGAGAGAGCCTCGGCTGGTGGGTCCCCCCAGGCGCGAGAGAGCCGCGCCTGGTGGATCCCGCCCCAGGCGCGAGAGAGGCTTGGACTGTCGGCTCTCGGCGCTGTCAGCCCGCGCGTCCAGCGGCGAAAGGCGACCAATGTGTGCAGGCCTGCGAACACCCCGGGGTCTGTCGTCCGCTCTGCAGCGAGCATCACGTGATCGCCGCGGGCCGAGTGCGTCACTCCGCTCGAGCGGTGGAACGCCGCGCCACTGTTGACTCAGCTGTTGTAGGGCAGCAGCCTTGGGTAGGAGCGAGGCTGGTCCGATACAGTGCTGTCAGCGGCCAGTGAAGGCGCCTGCTGCAGCGTGGTGATTGGTGAAAGCTGCGCGCTTCAGTGCTGTGTTCTGTGAAGCTGCCTATGCTGGCGTGGGGTAATTGAGGTGTCGTGGAGAAGGGGGGAGGGCTGTTCCCAATTTTATAAGCACTTCAAATTTGGCTTACAGGTATTGACTGGAAATCAATAACCAAAAATGGCTGCCCCCCAGCTTGAGAGGACTTCCGTCGTCTCTGACTTCAAGTTGCACGCGTGGGATGTCTGGGATCAGAAGAGGGCTTGCAACTTGCTTGCTTGGGCGGCTTGCAACCGAGGCCGACGTGAGGCTTATCTCGTTTCAACTGTGACTGCTGGCTTTTCATGTCTAGGTCATGTAGCTTCTTGTGTGTGTGGTGTTGTGTACGAAAGTACGTCTCGTCGGCGACGTTTTTTATTTTCCCCGCGGCGAATCAAACGTCTTTCCTTCCTCCTCTGTCCCTGGCGTTGTCCTATGCAACTTCTGTTCCTGGCGTTGGCTTACTCTCTGTCCCTGGAGTTGGCCTACGGACCCTCTGTCCCTGGCGTTGTGTCAGCCTACAGTCCCCCTGCCCCCAGCAGTGCCGGCCTTCGGTCTCTCCGTCCCCAGTGTCGGCCTTTGGTCCCTCCGTCCCTGCGTCGGCCTTCGGTCCCTCCGTCCCCAGCGTCGGCCTTCGGTCCCTCCGTCCGCAGCGTCGGCCTTCGGTCCCTCCATCCCCTGTGTCGGCCTTCGGTCTCTCCATCCCCAGCGTCGGCCTTCGGTCCCTCCGTCCCTGCGTCGACCTTCGGTCCCTCCGTCCCCTGTGTCGACCTTCGGTCCGTCCGTCCCCTGTGTCGGCCTTCGGTCCCTCCGTCCCCAGCGTCGGCCTTCGGTCCCTCCATCCCTGTGTCGACCTTCGGTCCCTCCGTCCCCAGCGTCGGCCTTCGGTCCCTCCGTCCCCAGCGTCGGCCTTCGGTCCCTCCATCCCTGTGTCGACCTTCGGTCCCTCCGTCCCCAGCGTCGGCCTTCGGTCCCTCCGTCCCCAGCGTCGGCCTTCGGTCCCTCCATCCCTGTGTCGACCTTCGGTCCGTCCGTCCCCAGCGTCGGCCTTCGGTCCCTCCGTCCCCAGCGTCGGCCTTCGGTCCCTCCGTCCCCAGCGTCGGCCTTCGGTCCCTCCATCCCTGTGTCGACCTTCGGTCCCTCCGTCCCCAGTGTCGGCCTTCGGTCCCTCCGTCCCCTGTGTCGGCCTTCGGTCCCTCCGTCCCCTGTGTCAGCCTTCGGTCCCTCCGTCCCTGTGTCAGCTGACCGTCCCTCTTGTCGGCAGTGCGGTGCGCCAGTGTCGACAGCGGCTGGGCTTTCTTCGGCGGAGGCGCAGCGACAACAGCATTTCGGTGCGACCGGACCGGGCGCAGGCCCAGCAGTGGGCCACCTCCTTCCTCAACCTGATCAACTCCAAATGTGAGTACAGCGGGTGCGGAGTCGCAGCTGTCCGCACGCCCGTGTGCTTCGACCGGCACTCGACAACGTCCCACGCGTCTTCCGCGGTGGCGTGGCTCTCGCTGCGGGCACTGAACTCTTGCTCATCTCCGAGTGTGTACCGCACCCAGGCATTGGCTGCAGTGTGCCGGCCTGCCGCACGCAGGCCCGATACCTTAGCAGACTAGCCCGGTCGGATAACATGCTGGCGCGTAGAAAGTCGCGCTTGGCCTGGGCGCAGTAAACCTCAACCGGGTTTCGCAGACGCCGACATTCTTCTGTGAGGTCGGTCTCCCACCGTACCCTCGCCATGACCGGTACGCGTGGTCGCGCTCCCGCGTCACACACACCAGACCGGGATTCGCCTCAATCCAGGGGCAACGTGGACGGCGGAGTGTCGCTGTTTCCAGAGAACAGTGCACATCAATGGCCTTTGACCAGACGCATATGAACTCCAGCTCCTCCGTCGCACTTACGGCCCGGTACAACGGGTTCCAGTCTGCCTGCAACAAAGGCAGACTGGACGCGCCTCAGCAGATATCACGCCAGGGGCAAGCACGAAAAGAAACAGGATGTGAGTGCTGCCACCTGAACGGGGCACGAGGGATGGTGGCGAGATGGTCTGCAGTCGGCGCTGGCGGCACCAGACCGGTGTCCTCCAGTTTAGGCATGCTGGTAATGACGTGGTGCAGGAGAGTCGCTGTCGGCTCAAGATGGGTAGGTGTGTCAAAAAACCGCACGAGACCCAGATCTTTTAAAAGAGACAAGTAGACACGCACAGCTGGATTGTCGGGACGCATGAAGTCAATGTTAAAATCACCGAAACAAATCACGCGTCTCCCAATGGCACCAGCCGCTCCTGGTTGGTCCTATGCCTCGCCAAGGCCGCCTGATGTCGGATCGGACGGAGGACGACAGACAACGCCCACAGTGGCCGGGAGATGTCGGCCGCCACTCCGGCGCTGAGTGGCGGCCGACATCTCCCGCGGTGGCCGGGAGATGTCGGCCGGCACTCAGCGACACCCACAACGACTCGCATACTGCACTGGCACTGGAGATGGGTGACAACCCCCGCAGCGCCGGGTCGGGCGGTCCCTGCGCACCAGCCGGTAGCCGGGAAACACTAAGATCCTGACCGTGACTGGGTCAGTCAGCCACGTCTCGGTTATGCACGTGACGTCCAGGTCATGGGCGCGTACGGTCTGAAGCACACAGTCCATTCCCAGGACTGACGACCGGACATCTGCGTGGATGATCGACAGCGTGCCGGCTGGCCTGGCAGAACTGGTGCGGGAGGTGCGTGCTGACTGCAGGGTCTGCCCGATGGTCGGGCGGGCCAGCACCGAGAGCGTCCGGGGCCGAGGCGTGACACAGCGCGACGGCACCCAAGAAGCCGATGATGGCTCACGGGCGGCGGACAACGTGCGACAGTCAGCGTCCGCCGACTGTCGCACTGTCGCACTGTCGTCCGCCGTGTGGGAGTGTCGCAGCCGTTCTCGCCGTCCGGCTCTTCATCCCCCCGTTCGTGCGCGGCTCCAGTACGACAGAACCACTGGTGGCTCATCCGACCCAGCTGGCCACGACCTGAATCTGCCTATGGTCTGCCAGGCGGACCGCAGCTGTGACCTCGCATCACGGCCCAGCGCCAGGTCAAGGCCACGTGGTCGCGATGGGATCCGGCAGAGTGCAGCAGCGTAGCTGCATCTGAACGCTGGCTGGTTGTAGACATCCTCACATCTCTTCCAGAATCGGTAGAACGGTAGAGCGAGCGGCTAGGCGTCACCCATCCCATGGAAGCTGACATTTGGACAGCACCAACAGCCGACACAAAGGCAGTTAAAAAAACGGCTCTGCCGTCAGCTCTGTCGACCCTGAAGCCGAGTGCGAAAATCCAGTGCAACACATCACACTCCATTGTGTCTACAAATACAATGGAAAATGCGGCCGGTGGATAGTCAAGTACCAACGATGTGCGATGCCTGTGTGCAGTCTGTCAAAGGAAATGTTCCACATTTGAATGTATTGAGGCAAGCATCAGATATGATGAAATGCGCTCAATGAAGGGGCTTATTATTGAGGGGAATCGAGCGGAAATGTATCAAGAAAAAAGCTGCTTGAGAGAGCCAAATTGCTCTATTAAGTAAACATGCTTTTTTATATGTAATTGTTTTATCGCGTCATGGAACGTTTGTATGCGGCACACACGTGTAGTTTTTCAATCTCCCGAGAAATGGCCGCGACGCTGTTGGATTTAAGTTGAACCAAATATCCTTAGCTGCTGGTGTTTTGGCACTTTCTCGCGATGTTCTTGCATATTTACCGGTGATGCTAAGGCGCTTTCCTGCATCCACATACTCGGTTATAAGGCTATTCCCAAGTTATTTCATAACAAGTCTTATTCTCGTAATAACTGGGCTGAATTTATCACTTCTTGTATTATAAAACACAAAACGTAATGCGTGTCAGGATTTTGCATAGCTTGTGCAACATTGTTTGGGAGCCAATCGAGGGCCGTTATGTCTGCAAATCGTGCTCACGAACGCCAGCTGTGAACGACTTGACACTTACGTTTATCTTAACCTTGGATGCCACATGGCCGTGGCATGACAGGATTTGAATAATGTTATTATGGCGTCATGGATGCCAAGGAAACCTTGAAATAGTCTGAACGAAATAGTCTGAACATCTTCGCGGGCGTGTAGCTCAGAAACCAGTATTTAGGTCTGAAGAGGGGCAGGGCTGTGAACTGCACCGAATGATCTTCAGGATGGTTTGTCAGCTCAAAAGCCCATCCAAATGTGGAACACTCCCTGTAAGCTACACAGGTCGATTTTGTGTTGCTTAATGTGCACACCTGTTGCAGATGGAGTGGCGTTGTTCAAAAGGATTCCTGTCACAAGAGTTTGCTGATGAAAATCTGGAATTCTGGCTTGCCGTTGAGGATTTCAAGAAAACGCGACACTGCAAGTTACCAGCCAGGGCTCAACAAATCTATAATGAGTTCCTGGCTGCACAGGCTCCGAAAGAGGTGAATGTCTGATTACTCAGGTTCTGTGAGAGGTGAGTGTCTGGCTGCACAGAAGTCGGGGGAGGTGGGGTGTCTGGCTGCACAGGCACTGGGGGAGGTGGGTATCTGGATGTACAGGCGCCGGGAGAGGTGAGTGTCTGGCGGTACAGGCGCCGGGAGAGGTGAGTGTCTGGCGGTACAGGCGCCGGGAGAGGTGAGTGTCTCGCTGCACAGGCTCGGAGAGGTGATTGTCTGGCTACTCCGGCCTGAGAGAGGTGAATGCTTGGCTGCTCAGGCTTTGAGAGAGGCGATCGTTATCGGGCGCTATACTGGTTGTAGCAGTGGAGCGTGCCAGCACTGGTTCCAGACTGGTCGTAAACGGATCTCGTATCCGCAAATTGGCTTTGCGGTACTTGTCTGCTCGTCGGTTCATTTAAGTTTAAAACATTGCATTCAGATGAAAGGTCTCCTTAAATATAGCACGAAACGTCTTAAAGTAATTACTTATGGAAAGTTGCAACAGGTAGGTGAAGCTGCAACAAGATGGATGAGTGAGATTCCAGCGAAATGCTTTGATTCGTTTAGGGATATGCCCATTGCTGTGTACTTGGGTCGCAATCGGTGTCCGAGTTTCTCCTGTGTGCCCGTTGTTGCCAGTCATAAGTGTCGGCCGATGCCGTCCTACTGCGGTATCTCGGGATGGCGCAGACGTGTGAAATTAAGTACGCACACTCCCGCTGGTTCACGGCTCGGAAGTGCGGACCTAACTGACGTCTGTTCCTTCCCCTCAGATCAACATCGACTCGTCCACACGGGCGGTGATCGGTAAGCGGCTGTCGGACCCGGATGTGCAAATGTTCGACGCGGCTCAGCGGCGTGTGCAGCACCTGATGGAGAGCGACATCTTCCCACGCTTCCTCCAGTCAGAGATGTATCAGGAGCTGTTACGCGACGAGCACTCGAAAGCCCGGGCGCGCAGGTAGCCCGGCCGGCCGGCCGACGCCACTTCAGGCTGTGAGGGGAGGCTTGTGCGCCGGGTTCGCTGCAGGGCGTGCGCTATCTCTCCGGACGGGGAGCACATATCACAGGAGAGGCCTGACGGTTCTCGACGCGTCGGCGGCGGCGCTTCGACTGGGCGGCTGCGGCGGCGCCTTCGACCCAGTTCAGAACAGACCACGCTGGGATCTGCGGCTCGCGGAGGGAGTCCATGGCGCCACCTGCACCGTCCCGGCTCACTCGGTTCGCGCCCGCTTTGGCCAACGGCTCCCCTGAGTCCAACATCAGTGCGCGTCGTTCAGCGAACTCCTGTTTGGAGCGAGCCGAGCGCCGCGAGCCGTTGTGTCGCTTTGGTCAACACCTGCCGCCGGCCGACCGAGACAGGCGCTGCTGGTGCGTACAAGAAACCAGAGGCTTTCGGAAGTTGTCTGGCGTCATATACTTCTACGAGTGTCGCTACCAACTGAGCGTTTTCATTCGATCAAAGATTAGAGTACGAAGTAGCATTGTTGCCGGTCATTTTTTGCTGTGGTAGAGATAGAAGGACCATATGACAACCGCAGACGGAACTCATTAATTTAGCTCAGATGCTGTGGGCTGACGTTACGGCTGGAATGACATCCTCTGTTTTTGATGTGGGTGGGCAGGGCTGGCTCCGACAGTCGGTCATGTGGATCTGATCGACTGTTAGGAAGGTTCAGTGTCAGTGGCTAGCATGTCACACAGAAACTGTGGAGTGCGTTCAGCGTGTTGACTTCGATGCCTGTTGGTGGTTGGTGAGATACCCAGTGCATGCCCGTTAGATGAGCCAGTGGTTTGAGGTTTGAGAAGCCGGGGTCTGATGCACTGCTCGCGTCCGTCTCGGGAGCCAGTGGGATGTGTTCGTTCATGTCTGCATGCAGGGTCAGCGATCTCGTGCACTGTTACCGCCTGGATGCAGTCAGGGAGCTGGAGCACGGTTTTCTACTTGCTTAGAGAGTCAGTGATCCAGCGTCCAATTTCCAGCTGTTTGGAGAGCCAGTAATGTGGCACAGAACGCCCACTTGCATGGCGAGGGACCGACGTAGCGCATCATTTCCACCCCTGTGGAGAGTCCGGTGCCACCTGTTTTGGGCCGTGAGCGGTCCGACGCACATTGCCCGCCCGTGTGGAGGTCAGGGATCGGATAGCCGGAGGACGCTGGTCGCTGCACCGGGGGGGGGGGGGGGGGGGGGGGCTCGGACATGACCGGGTGTCCGACGTGTCCACACGTCCCATGAGGCCGTCGTTGATTGGGTCGGTACGTCTGTGGTGGCTGCTCCAGGCTGGCGGCCCCGGGCTGTGCCAGAGTGCGCCGATGTTTGTCTGGTGGGTAGCTGATCTGATATTACCTAGACTTAATACATGCAGAAGCTCGTGTGAACTCGGTTGCAAAGCAGAACCGCTCAAACGTCGCGGGCGCTGAGGTCCATAACACGACGCGTCTACCCAGCTGCACTGTCCGCCGCAGCCGGCCCGCGGTGCTGCCACAACACACACAGTGACGTCCCCCCACTGGCTCACGCCGCGCCGTGTGAGCGTCAGCGGGCGGCACTTCGGGTATTCAGTGGCCCCAGCTGCCGAATCCCGCCTGCCCTGAACAGAGCACGGTTTTACTGTTGGACCCAACGCCCCTGTGGCGACGTCAGATGGTGTTAGGCCGAGCCGCCAGGCGCCGCCACGGGCCGCACGGGAAGCTCCAGAACAAAAGATCGTAAGGAAAAGAACGTGTGCATGTAGTGCGCACGCGATTGTTCGTGAGCACGGGCACGTAATGGATAACATACGTATGACGAAGGTAGGCAATTAAAAAATCATAGGCAAAGGTGTGCACCCACAACTTCGTAGGCAAGGCATGGACTGTAAGCATGGATCGTTTAGGGCTAAATTTTCTGAACAGTTCTCTTATGGGAGTGTAGCAGGGCAGATCGACCACAAGGGTACCAAATTCTGCATCATCATTTCGTAAATTTCCCTGAAATACGGTCTTCGCGGGATGATCCAACTCGTAGGTTTCGACTGTGGAATCATTAGCTTATTCTGGCGCATAACAAAAAACTATACCGTTGGACGATGTTTGGTCAGTGCAAAGAAGGTCCTGACCAATGTGTGTACAGCAGGGATGGTACAGCGGTGGCATCTTTCTCTTTGGCCTTCAAGTTAGTTGGCTACTTCAGAAAAGCGACTATATGCTGGGTGGCACGCGCGTGTCCACCAGTCATATTTCACAAGCCAGGTAGGTGACTGGCCAAGGCCGTCATCTTGTATCAGTGGCGGGCTCATAACGCATTAAGCGGGAGTCGTCGACAGACTCGTCGTCAAGGAGGGAAAAAGAAGGGAACACAACAAAGAACGCAGCAGATCTTAATCACCGGTACCATGCAGAAGGACGCCGACCGGCTTGGCCTGGCTCCCCAGCGGAACGCTGCCAGGCTCGATCCGGCCGCTCACACGGCACGCGGCTGGAGCTGCCGGTTGGCGAGTTCGGCCGGAGGCGGTCGGTTGGCGAGTACGGCCGGAGACGGTCGGTTGGCGAGTTCGGCCGGAGACGGTCGGTTGGCGAGTACGGCCGGAGACGGTCGGTTGGCGAGTTCGGCCGGAGACGGTCGGTTGGCGAGTACAGCCGGAGACGGTCGGTTGACAGGTTGGGCCGCAGACAGTCGGTTGGCGAGTACGGCCGGAGATCGTCGGTTGGCGAGGACGGCCGGGGACAGTCGGTTGGCGAGCACGGCCGGAGACGGTCGGTTGGCGAGTTTGGCCGGAGACGGTCGGTTGGCGAGTACGGCCGGAGACGGTCGGTTGGCGAGTACGGCCAGGGACGGTCGGTTGGCGAGTACGGCTGGAGACAGTCGGTTGGCGAGTACGGCTGGAGACGGTCGGTTGGCGAGTACGGCCGGAGACAGTCGGTTGGCGAGTACGGCCAGGGACGGTCGGTTGGCGAGTACGGCCGGAGACGGTCGGTTGGCGAGTACGGCCAGGGACGGTCGGTTGGCGAGTACGGCCGGAGACGGTCGGTTGGCGAGTACGGCCAGGGACGGTCGGTTGGCGAGTACGGCCAGGGACGGTCGGTTGGCGAGTACGGCCGGAGACGGTCGGTTGGCGAGTACGGCCAGGGACGGTCGGTTGGCGAGTACGGCCGGAGACGGTCGGTTGGCGAGTACGGCCAGGGACGGTCGGTTGGCGAGTACGGCCAGGGACGGTCGGTTGGCGAGTACGGCCGGAGACGGTCGGTTGGCGAGTACGGCCAGGGACGGTCGGTTGGCGAGTACGGCCGGAGACGGTCGTGTCTGGGATAGCGGCCGGGCCCATCCGGTCCAGGCCGCTGTGTGTTAGCTGTCCGAGCGTGAGTGCCACTGAAGCCGTGGCCGAAGTGGCCGCACTCCCGGCCATGATCCGGGTTGCTGCTGCTGGGTACAGGTTGGATGCCCTGTTCATGTTTTGGGCGTGGTTTGAATGAGATTACACATGCCATCATAATCACATCTTTCAAGATAACCGATCTGTCCGCATTTTGATCGATGCCGTCAAAGCTTTCGGAAGTCAGGATTAGAAGTAAATGGGGGAAAAGAGTCACGTGGTACATCTTGGTAAACCGACAGGAACTTTCAGACTGATGCGTATTTCCATGCCGGCGGATAGCATAAACATCCTGGGCGCTGGTTTAGCGCCACGCATAATTGTCAGAGAGGTGATCATTGGAGATTATAAAATTAACTTTAAATACCCGGCATCAAAGCAATCTTTCTTAAGGCCAAATCACAGTCGCAAGGTACTTACATATATGGCGGCTGACGCGCATGACATGCACGCAGGTTAAACGAGCCATCTTGCATTTGATTTCAAACCACACGATGGATTTCTGTGTGACGGACCTAATAAACATGCAGGTAGTCAAAACCCGAGTATTTAAGACAGGAGAGTCTTCATGCATGGACGCCTGTTGTGAAACGGGGGGGGGGGGGGGGGGGGGGGGTAGCTGGCTGTAAGCAAACGCGCCAGTGGATTCAATTGGTTTCGCAACCCCGCATCTCAAGGTCTTCTGATCCGGACCACCCGCGTTCATCCGGCAAACGCACGCTTGGTGCCTTGTCCACCTCGGCCAGCGCCTCTCAGCGCGGGGCGTCGTGACCACCTCGGCCAGCGCCGCTCAGCGCGGGGTGTCGTGACCACCTCAGCCAGCGCCACTCCGCGCGGGGTATCGTGACCATCTCGGCCAGCGCCGCTCAGTGACCAGGTGACGGGAGCAGGTAACCTGAGGTCACCTGCTTCTGAACGGCCAGATTTCGTGTTCTCGCTTTCGATCGGTGTTAATTTGGAGAGAAGCGGTAAAGCGGGTCCGAGTTTAGACTTGGCTACACAGATGGCGGCAAAAAAATATTGGCGGGTTGTCCTATCCTTGGCTCAACAGTACACACACAGCACACGCACGCGAGCGATCAGTATGTAGTGCTCGAGTTAACAGTTGAGGCCCTGACGATACGCACCGAAATAGTACCTCTAAAAAGTTCCTCCTTTACGACCAGTAAGATTGGTCTGCGATTGTACAAGCGTAAAATGACCCCGTATGAGACGAGTAAAATGCGTGGTGAGGCTTGAACTTTCGCATTTTGAAACACCTAGTAGCGAGAAATATCTCGGTTATCCTGATTATCTAGTAGCCTAAAGAAATAGATCATCCATACGTGCGCACAATTACACGGCTGTCATTGGCTAGCGGACCTCAGCTTGACTTGCGCCGATACACAAAGGACAGAGCATGGAACGAACCTTAACAGGGTGCCATGCAGCTGACAAACTAGATACACTCACCTGCGTACCGCGCACGGACCGGAATAACGTCGAACCAAAGAAGGATACGATGCAACTACCCATCTCAACACGCTCACCTGTACGCCACATGCCATACGCAGACTGGGATACCGCCATACGAGTTTTCCTCATGTCGTGTCTAAACTTATGACCTGTCCTACTGCCAGACGCGGGGCATGCGCTTCGCCAACGGTGAAGATGACCGGGCTCCGATTTATCGGTCAAGCCATGCGTGGCCAGCGCAGAAGGACGCTGAGGAACATGTTTTCTGGATTTACTTGACAAAACAGCGCGATATAGCTGAGACCACCTCCATCACAATCTGAGAGTTGTGTCCGTTAGCACATTCCTTGAAGTACTCCTTTCACATCAGCATCGGATCTCGACCGTGCTTCATTCCTATGATGGGTTCTAAAAGTATAAACGGCGGTGTTCACAGATACCTGAGGCGATATAACGTGTATTTAGGTGAGGGCGATTAGCGAAACACTTCAACTCTGTTACCAGACAAGATTACCGAGTGGAGCACTACGTCTGGCTGATTTCCCTCGGTCCATATCAAACAAGCCTCTCACGCGCAGCACACACAGGCAAGCGGCAACAGCAAAGCACGCAGATCCGAGACTGGTTGTGAAAATAAGTTCAACCAATGCCGCGCGAAGCAGTAACAACAGGGGGCGGGGACGGCGGCCTTCTCGGAGAACACAGCTCCGAACCTGACCTGGCCTGACCCGCCGGCCTTAACAACCGACCCCCTCAGCTCGGCAGACTGCAGCACGGCGCGCACTGAGGAACCCCCGACAAGCAGCAAGACCAGACGTTTCACCCGTACAGATCGGACGCGCGCCCACGCTCGTCCACCATGTCGCGGCAGCCGCCGCCTCTGCTGGAGACAGCAGGGGTGACAGTACAACAAGAAGACACGCCTAGGCCCTCACCGTGCGGCGGCGACGGCGGCGGACGCGCAAGGCACTCAGGCACTCGTGTAACAGCCGTTTGCGCAGCAGCGGAGGCGCAGGCAGCAGAGGAACTTCAGCGAGACGCCCACCTACCGGCTGGCGTCCAAGCGATGCGAGGCAGCAGCCTTGGGTCCGCGGCGCCGCCAGGCGGCGGCGGACGGCGCGCCGTTCCCGTCAGTGGCGGGCGCGCGGCAGCGTGCCGCCGCGCCCGTTCCGCTTGGCCGGCCCGGCGGACGCCGCGACGCCGCTCCGTCGCCGCAAGATGGGCGTGGTCAGCACATGCAACAGGCTGCGCCGCGGCCTGCCGCCCGTCGGCATACACGGAAAGGAGAGAGAAAGAGACAGCCGTGAACCGACAGGCCAGGCGACGCCGGCGGCGCCAGGCGAGCGTGCGCGCTACTACAGTGCGCCGAGACGACAGGCAGCCGCTGAGACGACCGGCAGCCGCTAAGAGCGACCGGGATCTGTCGAGAGTGACCAACAGCCGCCGAGAGCGACTGGGATCTGTCGAGAGCGACCAACAGCGGCCGAGGGCGACTGGGATCTGTCGAGAGCGACCGGGATGTCGGGAGCGGCCAGCAGCCGCTGAGAGCATCCGACAACCGCGCGACGGACGGCGTCGCGCCGAGAGCGTCGCCGCCAACAGAACCGAGACACACACGACCCACCACCGGCCTTCGGCAGTCAGCAGCCACCGCCACCCAGGCGGCAAGCCAAGCACCCCACCCAAGCCACACACTCACCCACAGACGACCCATGCCTCGCCGGAGGATCACACAACACGCCGAAACCAGCCAGGACAGACCGTTACCGACTAGCACAGCCTAGGCGCTTGTGACGGAGAGCACTAGGGCGGCGGCCGACCATCGCCGCATGGCCGGCGCGCCGCCACTGGGAGGGAGAAAGCGTCGCTCCAGAGACAGCGGCGGCCCGGCACACGGCAAACGGAGCGTCCTCGGCTCAGCAGCCCGCCCCGCGCCAGCAGGCCACCCGGAGACGCAGCGACCGACGGCCACCTACGAGTCGAAGTGCTCTTCCGGCTCCAGGTCGAACCACTGGGTGGAGCCGGCCACCAGGTCCAGATCGCTCAGGTCGATGTGTTTCTGCCGGGAGCAGGACGGGTCACCGGTCGGCCGGCCGCCGCCCGGCCAGATGTGTGCGCGCTCGGCGCCACAGCCCCCTCCCTCCTCCTCCCCATCGGGCCGGCGCGTCCACCTCCAATATACGCCGGCCACCTAGTTTCTGTGATCTAACCTGCGTCGCACGACGGCGTCAGCCGCAACACAAGTGGATTTCGCGAAGAACTTTCATCGCCGCACACGACCGTCTACATCAGCATGCATCCGGTCAGCAATGCCACCACAACTTTTTCTAGCGTTACATACAATGGCAAAGGCAATAATACCGCTTCCAGCCTTCAAACAAAACAGCATAGAACCGTCGCAAGACCGAGCCCGACAGAGATGCGGACCACCAGATCTAAGCATCCAACAACGCTGCTCGGCCGATGCTCTACTCGGGATTCCACCTGCAGCGTGGATAACAGGACAATCAAACTAGCTTAAAGATGTTGCACCTTACATGTAAATGCCCACTGCGTGACCCAATGCACAGCCCCGACCCGTGTTCAAGCACCGTAGCCGTCGGGCGCCCGCTTACCATGCCAAGGATGGGGTTGCGAGCGAAGGTCTTCTTACTGACCACCTGAACCTCCAATGTGCGCACCCGGATCTCATTCAGCTGGCCGCGATACTCCAGCGCCTCGTCGTACACCGGGTCGCGGTTGTCTTTGAAGCTCTGTAGCAGCACGTGGGGCACTCAGGCGTCGCCACCGCACTATCCAGCTCGGGCAGCTGTACTATTGGCCGTCACTGGCAACTCGCAAGAAGTGGACCCCAACGCATTCGAAAGTTACCACTCGGGATAAATGAAGGGTCAAACTCGACAAAAGGCACGATTGTCAGATTGAATGGTCCACACTGACAAAGCAGCGCTTTGAAGTGGGCCTCCAGCAATCATGCTTCCGACATGATCATTGCGAACACGTTCTGATCAGTGGCCCAAATCGCCAGCAGCAGACAGCCCTGCCCGAAGCCGGCCCTCCGGACTCGTGACCGGTACAGGGACGCTGAGCCGGCCCTCCGGACTCGTGACCGGTACAGGGACGCTGGGCCGACCCTCCGGACTCGTGACCGGTACAGGGACGCTGAGCCGGTCCTCCGGACTCGTGATTGGTACGGGGACGCTGAGCCGGCCCTCCGGACTCGTGACCGGTACAGGGTCACTGAGTACAGAGTCCGGCAGACCGACCCGTCCCAGCCTGCAGCCGACGGCAGGCGGCGGCCGGCGCAGCCCTGGCGTCGCGTCCCACCGGCAACCGGCTCACCTGTGTTTTACGCTTGTTGTCCTCGGAGCGGTCAGGTAGCAGGTACGTCTTGACGTACGGATCGGGAATGTCGTCTCCCTGCATGGGCAGGCTCCTGCGGACCACCCACGGTGACATCATGGGACGAGCGTGAGTCACATCCCTAACACTTGGTGCACTCTGCTGTCACATGAGCCCAGATCCGCTCCGCGGTCTCCTGATCGAGACCAGGTGACGCCCAGCGTGCTGATGCGCACCGGGCCCGCAGAGGTGACCCGACTGCGCCCCTCTCGGCGGCGAGGCGCCCGGCCCGAGCTAGTCCAGGACGGCGGCGGCAGCCACTCACGATATTTTGTGGACGACGACCACCAGCGCCGAGCGGGTGTCACTGAAGCGCAGCGTCAGCTGGATCCGGCCCAGACGATGGGCGCCGGCCGGGCTGCCCACAAACCCTCTGTCAGCGCGTCACCACACACGGTGGTCCTCCAGACACACGACACGGCAGTCCTCCAGATACACCGTGCGGTGGTCCGCCAAACACACGGCACGGTGATCCGCCAGGCACACGGCACGGTGGTCCGCAAGACACACGGCACGGTGGTCAGCCACACACGCGGCAAGGTGGCCCGCCAGACACGCAGCATGAAAAGGCACTTTTCGCTCAACCGATTAATTTTTTTTAACCCATCACGTGATGCCAAACCGATCCATCATAAAACAGCACCGAATACTTGCACGAGCCACACATATGCTACGTTTCGCTGGCAACCGAAGCACGGAATAGGCTGTGTTTGACGGCAGTCCCTTACTTCTCCGGCTTGCGCTGTCGGAGTCCGGACTCTGCCTGCGCCGTGTCCGCTGACAGGTCCTGGATGAGCGTCTCGACGGCCTCCCGTGTCTGCCGGTGGGGGCAGCACGGTCTGTACAGTGCGTGGCAGACGTAGCGGCCGCCCACTACAAATACCGCCCGGCCGTCTGAGGACGCCAAACTATTGCTCATTGACTGCTCGCAGTCGCTGAGGTACACAGGACACATGGGAAAGCCACAGCTACTGATGCAGCCTCCAGTGCGATTGCATTCGTAGCTGAGGGTGAAACTAAGTCAAGCTCCACTGGCGGTACAGTTTTCCCGCCTGTTGCACACTTCGGCAGGGCTGTGAGCTGACACGCCGCGCCTCCCAGCGTAGCACGGCATTACAAGGGCTGGCGCATCCCACTTGCAGCGAGTCAGGAGGCGTCGGCATTGGTCGCCATGCAGCCAGTCCTTCCCTACAGGCACAGCTCGCTCCCGCCGTCACGCTGGGTCGACGGTGCACCGTCCTGCACCACCGGCGCGGCGCACAAACCGGGCTCACCTGCGCCGGCACCGGCTCCGGCCTCGACTCCTTGCGGGCGGCGGGCGCTGGCCGGACCGGGCTGGGCGGACGCACCGGCTCGTCCGCCTTGGGCTGCGGTGGAGATGCCGGCGGCGGAGAGGGCGGCGGTGGGGAGGCCGGCGGCGGGGAGGCCGGCTGAGTTGGCGGCGTCGCAGCCGGCTTCTCCCCTGGTGCCGCCGGCGGGCTCGGCTCAGTCGTGGCCTCCGCTGTGGGTGGCGCGACGGCCGGTCAGCTAGGTCGCCGGGAGCGCGGCGGGGGAGCAGGAGGGGGAGCAGCCGTCGGCGCGGCGTCCCAGTTCACACCGCCGACCGACCAGCACCGGTGCCAGCGGAGCTCTGGCCGGCAGGGCTCGGATGGTACACACCAGGACAACAGACAGGGACGGACGGCAGGTGGTGACGACGGCTGGCGTGTCCCGGTGCGCCGACGCCGGCGGTCAGTTCGAGCCGGCCTCGGGAGGATGGGAGGCGCGGCACACCGACCGGGTACTCACGGCTCGGTTCGGCGGCGAGGGCCACGCGCAACCTCGGCGGCGGGCGGGACGGAAGGCGGCGGCCAGGTCAGGACAGGGTGCACGGGCGGTCGGTGTGTCGAGGTCGGAGGTGGACTACGGTGCTAGTTCTTCTTTCGTCGCCTCACATCTGACCGTCACAGCGAGCGCAATGACTCATGGAGCGCAGACATCCGCGCATGCGGTCACAGGTACACCAGGCGCGCGCGAGACACCGACACCTCGGCTCACGCTGGCGTTTCAGCACTGAATTAAGCGTCAACGTCATACACTTGTCCTCCTGCGGGCCAATTACCGCCACTGCGCCCAGCCGCCGTGGCCTGGCTTCAGCACGCACCACTTCCGCGTGAAGCCAGAGACTGGCGGGCTGGCGGTGCGGCCCCGAGAGCCGCAGCAGTAGCCGCGGCCCGCCCCGGCCGGCGCCGCGCTGCCAGGCGGCACCGACGCGCGCCCCGCCCGGTCGGAGGCGGCAGCGGCCGCAGCACTCACTCGGCTTTGAGGGCTGTCGGGGCGGCTCGGGCGCCACCGGCCGCTGCGGCATGGCAGAAGGAATGCGGGCCTCGTCGTCCTGGGCCGCCACCTTGTCGTGCGTCAGAACCTGATGCGGACGCGCACTGTGAGCGGCACGGGTCGGCGCTGCCGTCCACACTTACAGCAAGGACCATCAAGGGCGCCGGCGAGGCTGTCACAAGCCTAATCTCGATGCAATTGCGCACAATGTGTGGGAAAGCCGAAAAAGCAGCCGCACTTACAAAATGGCGCTGATACCAAACGACGGAAAAGGGAAGGCACAGGTGTGGCAACGGTGAAATGGCCGGGACAGGGAATCAGCCACGTAAAGACAGGGCTGTGAGGCCCGGCCGGTGCTCGGACTCCTTACCGTGGCCGGGACAGGGAAGCAGCCACGTAAAGACAGGGCTGTGAGGCCCGGCCGGTGCTCGGACTCCTTACCGTGGCCGGGACAGGGAAGCAGCCACGTAAAGACAGGGCTGTGAGGCCCGGCCGGTGCTCGGTGCTCCCCACCGAGGCCAGCCTCACTCACCCGCAGCTGAATGGAGAGCACGACCATGGAGTGCCGGCCCGACTCGTGCAGTTTGTAGGGGTGCTCGCTGACCTCCAGCTCCGGCTGGCGGAGCAGGTCCTTAACCTCCAGCTGCAGCATGCCCAGCGACTTGCCCGAGCTCTGGTCCTCCACCTGGCGACGGCAAGAGCCGGAATACACGTCGGGATGATCGCTACAGCTCTGCCGCCAGGCTTCGCCGGCCGCCGGCGACACAAGCGCCCGCTCTGATCAAGGCCCACGGGACGCCCCAACACGCTTGAACGCCACGGTACGAGCATGGACGTTATCACCGAGCATTACTGTCCTTGAATGAGTGTAACGGCTCACTCTCACACCAAAATTTGATGTGATTTGATGTGATAGCAAGGATTCTTCCTACCTATGCTTTTCATTTAATAAAAAAGCCCAAGAAGGAAGGATCCTTTCCGCGCCAGCCAGCGGTGGTGGGCGTTTGGCAGGCGCTCGCTCTGGTTGCCGGACATAGTGCCCACCTCCAGCGTCATGGTCTGCGTCAGCGGGTTCTTGACGAGGAAGCTGAAGCCCTCCTCCCAGACAGGGTCCAGGGTGCGGTACTTGCACGAAGTCACCTCCTTCTGGTTGCCCACCGCCAGCCGCACCAGCGGATTGGGCTCCACCGTCCGCGACGCCATCTGCCGGCGACAGCCGACCTTATGTAGGGCGACACGGCGCCAGTCCAATCATCTGGTTAATAAAAACTCATGGTAGTGTATAATAAAAGATAGTCCCTAGCGAAGCACTTTAATGAATGATTTAATTCCCTGCACAACACTGCTTGAAATTTAAAAAACCGGACTGACGACGGATAAGCGTTCTGATAAAAACAAACCACCGACCGACGTAACGACCGACGTAACAGACAAAAATAAAATGGAAGAACAGCATGCACATAAAAAGCAAAAACAAAAATACAGTAGCCGAAAATGAGATTCACTTTTCATTCCATGTGGTGAGACGTTACGTAACATTTTGAACGGTATTTACACGGTCAGGCTTAACAGAGGCGAGTGGCGAGCACCGCGGGACGCTATCATACGGGTCACGTCACGGCCGTTACCGGAAGCTGTTTTGCCGAGTCGACGAACACGGTCAGCACGGCCGAGTGCAGGCCCGAGTGGTCGAACGCCGACAGGTCCTCGATTTCATTCAGTTGCTGAAACAGTGGCCGGCGTGCCGCGTCACGCCACTGGTCGAGCAGGGTGGGGTTCAGGCGGAGTCAAGGTCAGCGCTGCAGACTCGCCATCCCCTGCAGCACACCGCGCCGGGCACGACAAAGGCGCGTGCCTAATAAAAAAGCAAGACACAACATTGAAGAAAATACAGACGATATGAAACATGCCGCCACCAGCCAACTGGGCACACTCCCAGCTCCAGCTGAACTGAGATCGGCCGTGACCGAGAGCGCCGCGTCTGCCGCCCGCTGGTCGGCATATGCCGCCACCAGCCAACTGGACACACTCCCAGCTCCGGCCGAACTGAGACCGGCCGTGACCGAGAGCGCCGCGTCTGCCGTCCGCTGGCCGGCGTCATCACCTTCTTGATGTCGGCCGCGTTAGTGGAGAGACCCAGCCAGTCCAGCTTCATGTGGATCCGGCCGGTGCGCGCCTGCTCCAGCGGCACCCACTGAAATAACGGCCAACGTCTCCTCAGCCTAAAAAAATGGCCATCTGAGCATGAGCACTGACGCCGCGATGGCAGCTGTCGCATGGCGTGACCGACGACGAGCGGTGCACCGGCAGCGACTGAACGAGACTGAACGAGACATCCATCCCAGAGTCGCACGTTTCACCACGCGGCCGGGGCTAACAGCATTCAACCGCCCGGCTGGCAGGCTGCGGCCCGGTCCGCGGAGCCCGGCGCACTCACCACGTCCTGCGATCCGGCCTTGGCGATGTCGGCCACGTCCAGACCGCACCTGGCGGCGCCGACAGCCCCACGTTACACGCGCGCGGCAGCCGGACGGACGGGACAGCACCGCAACTCCGATTCGACAACGTTGCGCAAGGAGCCCGGGAACGTTTGAAGTGTACAGCAAAATGATGTGCTCAGGCAACGGCGAAAACGGCGCTATATTCATTGTCATGTCTTAACAGTTAATGCTCAGCATCCACCGTTCGGCATGTTCCTGGACGGAAAACGAAGCATAACATCGCCAAGAGGTTTTAGGACAGCAAGATATCAAGCACGCTGGCTTTACAACTGCAGCAAAAATCGACCTCATGGAAACACAGCAGAAATCAACTTGTTAGCGCGCATGCAGTGAAGATGAGGTGCGACTCAGTTTAGTGTGCATGCATGTTTAGAGCGGCAGTGAGCTAAGCATACCCGCGGCGGCTGCACGGGTCACCAGCGTCATACTCCAGCGGATCACAAGGGAAGCTCCGACAGAGACCAGCGTTAACGCGTGGACCAGGTCCAGAGGGATAGCAGCCGATGCGCTGATGATTGGCTCTGGACGGGTCCAGGAGGGGTGGCAGCCGACACGCCGGTTGGCTATGGGCGGGTCCAGGAGCGTATCAGCCGAGGCGCTGGTTGGCTATGGGTGGGTCGAGGAGCGGCAGCAGCCGAGGCGCTGGTTGGCTATGGGTGGGTCCAGGAGCGGCAGCAGCCGGGGCACTGGCTGGCTATGGGCGGGTCCAGGAGCGGCAGCAGCCGAGGCGCTGGTTGGCTATGGGTGGGTCCAGGAGCGGCAGCAGCCGAGGCGCTGGTTGGCTATGGGTGGGTCCAGGAGCGGCAGCAGCCGGGGCACTGGCTGGCTATGGGCGGGTCCAGGAGCGGCAGCATCCGAGGCGCTGGTTGGCTATGGGTGGGTCCAGGAGCGGCAACAGCCGGGACACTGGCTGGCTATGGGCGGGTCCAGGAGCGGCAGAAGCCGAGGCGCTGGTTGGCTATGGGCGGGTCCAGGGGCGGCGGCAGCCGGGGCGGCGTACCGTCCGAGCAGCTCGTCAGTCCGCCCACGGTCGTAGTCGTACAGTATCATCTCTAAGCGGTAATGAGCCTCGCACATGCCCTGGGAGGAGGAAAGGATCAGGGGTCGAGGTCATGGGACGGGGAAAGGTCGATGTCTTCCAGGAAAAGGGATCAGAGTGCAAGGGTGAGGTGCCAGGACAACGACTGGAACGCACACGGCGCACAATGTGATGCACAAACGTAGATAGCTAAATCCCGTCAACAAATAATGAGAAATTCAACACACCAAATCGCGAAGGACGCTTTCAAGCCCAACAAATCTCTGGGCACCACAGAAACCATAGCGAACGCCGACTTCGAGCATCAAAACGTCAAACGCAAAGCCAAACAAACTCCTGTCAAACAAGTCCACAAAACATCGAACACCACCAGTTTCAGCTGATGCAAAAACAAAAGCAAAATAACCAGACGCACGACAGGGCGCCACCATCTGCCAGTGAGCAGCAAAGAGCAGCTCGCCCGACCAGCCGTCGCGTGGGCGGCCGGGACGGCCCGGCGGGGACGGGGCGGGCGCCGGGGCGGCCGACCCGGGTCAGGCGGGCCACCGCCCGGCCAGGCCTGATCCAGCGCCGACCTCGTAATGGTAGAAGCTCCGTGCACGGTGTGCCGAGCTCGTGATGCCCCTGTCTGCCGAGCCCACTCCCCACACCCACCGCCGGCCGGCCGCGCCCGCTCCGCACACCCATCGCCGGCCGGCCGACCCCGCTTTGTACACGCACGGCCGGTCGACCGACCCCGCTTTTTACACGCACGGCCGGTCGACCGACCTTGCCCCTAGGTCCAGCCGGTGCACCCCGTGCCGTCCCCGAGCGAGGCCGCCGGCACCCGCTGCCGCGCCGGCCGCCGCGCATGCGCCGGGCGGCCGGCGCCGGCCCGCCGCCTGACCTGCCCAGGAAATCGTCCTTGGCCAGACTGCTGGCGTCCCAGTCCCAAAGATCGAGCCGCAGCTGGATGCCATCGAACTCGAGCAAGTGCGTCTGTCAGGCAAGACTGCAGCGTCAGACCAGATACGGTCGCCGCCACTGTCGGCTAGGCGGCACGACGAAACAGTGCAGCGGCTGAGCGGGCCCCACACCTGCTGCTGCGGACAGGACGGAGTCACGGCGGCCGAGCGCGCGCCGCTCCAGTTCGTCGACACTGCACCAGGAGACCGGTGACGCACGGAACCCAGCGGCGACGGGTCAGCCACCCACACCCACACGCAGCACAGCCACAAGCAAACGCACACGACGCTGGCCCACATACGGTCAACCCGCCGCGCGCCAAACCGCTGCCTGCTTCGAAGCGCGAACATGTAACGGATGAAAATATAAAGATCATGATCAGGACCCGCCTCGCGCACGCACACGCGCGCGTGCACGCACACGAGTCACGGCCCAGTGGATATTTGTTATGTACACCGCACACATGAATGACTGAAGCGAAACCGGAGAACAGTTCATCGAGCCCAGAGGGTCCGACACGCAACGATTGAGGGCCACCCAACGACAATCCCAGTGTCACCTGAGATGTCCCCGCGCTAGGCAAAAAGCCATCGATCAGACATAGTTGCGGGCACCAACGAAGCCGTCCTCAGATAAGATGGACGGCGTGCCGCAGGCTGCCGGCCAGCTTGTGGTACCGCACCATCTACGAACGTGAGCACGCATCGAGAGCTCACGTTTGGAGCGCATGCAGCACGATAGCCTTTCAATATAGGCATCGCAGAACGTAAGCAACTTAGAGCGACGATGATGGGACCCAAACTCAAGCATGCCACCCCAAACCACGCAGGCAGCCATGGGGATCCTCCCCCTCCCTCCCGTCGAGCCAAGCGGTGTACACTAGATGTTGGGAGATTGCGTAGGCATATGGTTCATTTTCGCGTGAGTTCGGGCACAATTTGATATTTTCTCGCGCGCTCTGACTACGTGCCTGTTGCAATGCCACCAACTATGGATAGTTCATGCCAGTAGAGAAACACCAGCAGCAGTGCGCGAGGACACCGAGTAATCTCAATATCATGTCGGCCAGGTCATCCGGGGTAAACCGCCTACGCCCACAACTTACATAAAGTTGTTTGATTGATTCCGCCGTATATCGCCCAACAATACTCGCAACTCTCATCCACTGCAGCCCAATGCTGACTCGTTCCACCTCTGAGAAGACGAGGACTGTGACTGCTTGAGTCATCAACCGGTGGTGATAAAAACGGCCGTGGCTCCTGTCGACTTACGATCCCAAATCAAATCTCCGTTCAGGAGGCTCCCGTCGGCAAATGCTAAAGCAATACAAAGCAAATTACGTCGACACGCCCCAAAGTCGGCAACAAAACATCGGAACCCAGCAACATCATGCCACGCCATTGCATTCTCACCAGCCAATCGTCGTCACAGGCAGACACGGCGAAGCGCAGCACAGTTACACTCTCTCCCAGATGCACGTCACGGTTCCCCGAAACAAAACATTCCACGTCGAGCTGAACAGGCACACCCAGTCGCCCCGAACGTCCGACAGAGGCGGAACCCGGACCAGCCAGGCCGGAGCCACGCGACGAGAGACCAGACCCGCCTGGCGGCTGGGCCGCGTTACCTGCCCAACGCATCATCATCAGCCGGGCCACGGTCGTAGTCGGACAGTGTCAGCTCCAGCCGCGTGCCCGTCGGGTGCTCCAGCACGGTCTGGGTGCGCGGTAGAGCGCTCAGGCGGGGCGGGGCAGAGTGGGCGGGACAGGGCAGGGCAAGGCAGGGCAGGGCAGGGCAGGGCGGGGAGGGGCGGGGCGGGGCGGGGCGGGGCGGGGCGGGGCGGGGCGGGGCGGGGGGGGGGGGGGGGGCGGGACAGGCGCAGCCCGCCATTGGCAGCGAGGTAGTGTCAGTAGGCCGCCGCGACCGTGGTCGTAGCAGCCAGGCTGAGGCTAGCTGGTGTTATTGGGCGGAATTTGGACCGCAGCAGGTGGAGCGTCCGCCTGATCACCGATTAGCCGCAGAGGGGGGCAAATCGAGAGCCGAGAGAGACAGATCGAGAGAAGACTGCAGAAGCTCCGGGGCAGAGCGTGAGAGACAGAGGCAGAGGGCGGGAGGGGGTGAGCCGTCCGCGCCGTCATCCGCGGCGCAGTGGGGTCACGTTCGTGCACCAGCTGCTGATGGCCGCGCTCACCTGCCCAGGTTATCATCTTTGTTGCCCGGGTCGTCCGAGTCGCACAGCTCCACCCAGAGGCGCGGGCCCACCGACTCGATCAAGTCAAACTTGGGCCGAGCAGAGCGCGTTAAAGAGAGTGGGAGGCGCGGACGCGTGTACCGGTGCACGCTGTCACACACGCCGTCACAGGAGACGTGACGCCGACACACAGACCGTCTCACACACAGCGGGCGCCAGGCTGACACTGACCGCACATCATCGCACCGCCGCCAACAGCCGGCTGAGGAGGGCGGGCGGGGGGCCAGGCGCCCTCGCACCTGGCGAGTCGTGATCAGCTGACAGGGTATAGCGAGGCGAATGGGAGGCCACACGGAATAAAGGTGACCGCAGTCATGTTGCGCACACTTAACTCTCGGTAAGTTTCACAATATCGCCAACGTTTCCGCACGTCCAAAACGTCACCAGTCTTGCTGCATGCCTATTAACCAACTTCCTGTGTTGACCGGCATCAGCCATACGCTTTACAAGCAGGCGCTAGTACTTCAGCAGCGTCAAGCGGCAGAATCGCCGCCGAACCTGTGCCGGCCGCCATTTGGCGCTGATCATTTCAATGCCAAAAGGCTGCTGGATCAATTGCCTCAGTATTAAATACGCGTCCCTCTCAACTTCATCTAAAAATCTAGACGTGTATTATTAATGGCCTGTAAGATCCGTGAAAAAGAACGTCTATGACCCCACCACTTCTATCTCTTCCTAATGTTGGTATGTTGGGACGCCTCGCATGGATCTAATCTTTCTGTTGGCACCAACGCTCAGTTGGGACAGAAACGGAAAAATCACGCTCCCCATGCAACTGCCGCCGAAAAACAGTGGTCTAGGATTCCGTTCAGAGTTTGGGGTGCGTAAGCTGGTTTGGTCTTTCCATGCAATTCCCTGGGAAAATGCCGGCCTCCCCCCATCCTTTCCGCCGGACGCACGTCTGAAAAGAAGCGTCATACCCAGCAAAACAGAAAACCGGTGAACACAGCACTACTGGGCCCCTCCGTGTGCAACCCTGCCCAGCGCCTGAATCCGCATACTGCGGTTTTTCCGTCTCCTGCCCCCGCCCCCTTCGCCTGCCCACCGCCGGCCGAGCCCCAGACCGGCCCGGCGCCCATCGCCGGCCGTCTGGCAACTAACAGCCGTGACGACAGCGGAGCGTGGGCGGCGGTCCCCCGCCGGCGCGGAAGGGACGGCTGCGGCAGCGGCAGCGGCCCGGCCCGACTCAGCGGAGCCAGCTCACCTCACACACGTAGTTCCAGACGGGGTCAACAGTGTCCTGGATGTACTTGGTTTTGAACTGCTTGGCGCCGATGTAGATGATGGCGTACGGGTCCGACTTGCCCTGGCCGAAGATGTTGCGGTCCTTCTTCATCAGGTCACGGCCCTCGATCAGGCGCAGGCGCAGCACGCCCTGGGGTCAAGGCCACGGTGCCGGTCACCACCACGGCGGTCGCGGTCGTTGTCAAGGCAGCCGCGGTGAGCGGCGTCGCAGGCACAAGTTCAAGGCTGCGGCCACGAGCCCCAGACGGCGGACGCGCACCACCTCAAGGGCAAAGCCGCAGGCGGCGCTGCCGCCTCAACACCCTATAACGTAAAAAGTGAATGAAGCGGAATGACTCAGGAAATATTATTATCAGCGTTAAATGCACGTTTACTTAAGACACCGTTGCTTAAAATGTTGACGCAATCATTTGCGTCATACTTCGGTGATGATCACGTCGAAGTCAATCACACACTGGGTTTATTCTCACAACTATAAAGCCGGTTATCTGTATCCATACAGCGTACTACGCGCTGTGTTTCCACCAAGGGTTCGTCTCGATGAGAAAGACCGCCGAGCGGCCAATACGCCGAGCTCTAGTATTTGTATACAAGAACGTCATATGTTTACCGATCTATTAGACCACAGACTAGGATATCGAAAGGTCTATGACTAGTCGTATATCGCAATATTGATACTGATAAAGATATAGTCGTGTACTGGCAAGCGCAACCGAGCGTCTGGTCCTTCCAGCACCGATAGCTACGCATTGCCTGTGCAGTGCCCACATGTCCCAGCAATCTCTGGCGCTCTGCCATGTGTGACTCACAGTCCGACACACGCGGCCGGACGAGGCCCTGTCGCCGCCGCCGCGTGGGCGGCAGCGCACGGCCGGGCCAGGACCCACGCCGAGACCAGTGGGGCAGCGGAGGGCACGTCCAGCGGCCGCCGACTCGCCACGGCACCTCCAACCCCGCCGGGTGGCCTGTTTCACTAGCCAGAGATAGCCGGCTCCGTATCGCTGACCTCGGTGTTATGGTGATGATGTGGGATTTTGACACCATAGGTCATTTTGCGCCCATGGCGGCTGTTAACGGCTGTGTTTTGTTTTAATTAGCACGAAGCAAGTACAGCTAAAAACTTCTGCTAACAACCTCTGTAGTATACAAAGAGGCGTGTTCTGGCAGCGAGAATGAACGAGCGGCAAGGCCAAACACGAACGCCGAGCCAATACCTGATGCGGCTTTGGATCCGTCTGCAAAGGTCGCTACACATCCTTGATGTGACGAGATAAGCTCCAATCCCCTAAACCTAGTGTCACACGTAATGGGTTCTCGTTTTTAACCTACGCTAATGAAAACCGCACTTGGTGCACATATTTCCCAAGGGGGTGTTGTCAAGTGACCAGATCTGAGCACTCCCTTCCATCTGAGCCCATTCTCTCCGAATAGCTCTTCGACCTGAAAAGCAAATGCCACAACACGTGTTCTCCGTTCTTTCTAACAGGTCGCGTCACACGTCGTGAAAAGACTGTCGGGTGGTGAGGTGTTTTGGGAGCTGCGCCAACTTGCAAGCATACCTCACCTCAAGCATTTCCCTCCGAAATGAGAGCGGGGGTTCACTTGCCTCTACCAGTAGGCTTGCAACTGAACACGTTTTGAACGCACCGGTTGCCTTGCGCAGTGCTGTGTGCCATGTGGTGTTTAGTTTGAAGGAGGTGGGCGCACGGTTATGTATATCACATCCGTAGTTAACTTTAGATCTGATCAGTGAGCGGTACAACAATTAAAATGTTTTCCGATCTGTTCCGTAAGAGCTTGTGCCACGCATTTCAATGTGTTCAGTGTCTTAAAACACCCGTAATGCAGAATGATGGGATGTTCCTTGTAAGTCAAATGCTTATCAAAATGTGACCCCAGAAACCGTGTCACCGCATTGCAAGGGATCGGCTGTCCATAAAGCTTAAGCGCCATGTCGGGACAATGACGCCGGCGTCGACAAAAGTGGATGGAAATGATCTTCGAGGTCGAAAACCGTAAACCGTTAAGCATGCTCCACGTATCTAAGCCAGTCACAGCCAACTGTAACTGGCGCGGCATGGACGCTGCCGTGGCGGAGTTGCACCGGATGGCGAGACCATCAACGAAAAGCGAGTGACCAATCGCCCGGGGTAGGTTGCCCCGACATCATTCATTATGACGCAAACAGCGCAATACTTAACACACTGCCCTGGGGCACGCCGTTCCTTTGGGGTATACCATGCTGGAACAGCTTCCGTAAGATGCCATATCGCCAGGTTGTGTCATAAACCTCTTTGATGTAAGTAATCCACACAGTAGAGCCCAAGCCTAAACGATGAGCAACCGTGTTACGGTTTTTCCTGAAACCACAATGAGCGTTTGTAAGCACATCGTTTCTTTCAACAACAAAAAGTTACTTGTGCCCGAACCATCCGCTCTGGAGGCTTGCACATGGAGGAGGTAAGCGCCGCTGGACGGCGGCCCCACGGATCCGTCTCTTTCTTACCAGGCTTCAGCAGTGAAACTATTAGCGACTTCCGCCCAGACGTCGGGAAATCTGTGCTTTCCCACAACTGGTTGAATGTCACCAACATAGCTTGGGGTCAAAGCCACATTCTAAGACCAGACACAGTTTAAAAGAACTGGGCTGCACCTGTTGCAGGACCGAACACCTCGGTCAGAGAGTAACGGCCCCACTCCACAGGGCGGTGCAACCTCAGTGTAAAGCCTTTTATGCCATGCATTTTTATAACTGCTGAGACGGGGTTTTTTAAATTTAACAGGTGATCAGAACAACCCCTGGCGCGTTTTCCATTTTTCTCCTTTTTTATTCGAGCTCACTGGACCGCAAGTGATCATCTGATCGGGATTATTGCTGCATGGCAGCTGACACTTGCGTGGTTAAGGGGATAGTGAGCAGGCAGAGCAATGGCACGGCTATCCTAGCTATTACGGCTACCCAGCCTCCCTAGCACGGGGACCCTTGGCCGTTGCCGGTGTGGGGGTGCTCTGGCGGGACTCCCGCTAGAGAGGTCGTGGGACAGACTCACGCCGGCAGCCGCGGCCCGCCCCCCACGAGTTTACAGATTTTATGGTGAGGCACTGGTGCGAAAAAGGGCGCATGGTGGTCTCGGTCCGAGCCTGCCTTCGCACGACAAATGTACACCGGTATGCAATCTTTCTTCGCGTCGTGAAAGTAAAGCGGCCAGAACGGGGAGCACTTCACTTCGACCGTCCACTCAACCGGTTCACGATTACAGTGCGCCGGTGAAAATTCGTGGTTTGTGGGAACTATTCTCCTACGCCGACATTTAGGAAAGCACAAGTTCCCATTACTATTTTACAGGGATACATTCGCATTGGCTTATCTCATCTTAGAGATTTGCATATCTTGTACAGCGGTTGGGTCTGGCCCACGCTCCAGCCCCGCCCGCATCCACCGCCGAGCCGGTGCGGCCCTCAGTCGGACCACTCAGGTCTGCGCCGCCGCGCCGCCAACAAGAGTCTCGTTGCGACACAAGCCCGAACGTCACCAAAGCATCCATCCTGGACAAATTTAACGTCATGCATAGAGGTCAACGAAGAAAACCCTTTCCCCACGTCTGGCACTAAAACGACTTGCTTCAAAACAGCGGGCAGCGCCTGTTACGTTTCGATTTTCAAATAACATGTCTTCGTGCCAATACTTGGACTGTCCCCAAAACGACAGTCAGAAGAGTTTCCTGGACAAAAATCGTTCGTTGTCCTGTTCATTGGTGACGCTTTTAAATAACGCAGGCGTGCGTTGTATACAAGTTAAAAATGACATCCCGACCACAGTTTTCCTTACAGTTGAGACCATTCGCCGCAACTTTTCCGTCCAAAAGATATATATATATATATATATATATATATATATATATATATATATATATATATATACTCCGACCATTGGTATGCATGCCTTCCGACACACATTAAATGTCACACAAAGCTGGCCTCGGGTACCCGCGATCTGCACTGCAGAAGAATGATTCAACGTGCGCGTGATTTACATCGACCATCAATGAGTCACGCTCCAGACCTATCAGAATACAACAAGTGATCAGACCGCGTACGGTACACACAGGTATGCTATGTGTTCGTCCGACAGCGCTGGAAGTACCGAAGTTTTTCAGAAAGGTTTTGCCATGTTGTAGTTTGCTCTGCCATTCCTATTGGCGAGCAACTAATTTATTTTCTCCCAAGCATGTTGGTTTTGAATACGTCAGTAAAGTAGTCAGTCATAATTAACCTCAGGACCTAAGCGTTAAGGCCTGAGCAAAGTTTGTTTGTGTGAGCGCCCTTTCGAAGACCACAAGTAAGCTATCTCGGTCCCAACCACAAACAAGTGACACATTCCCTTTCCGTATCCCAGTTCCCACGTGGCGTGTTTTCTCCTCCGGGGTCGTTGTTACGGGTGTGGCCAAGCCTGTCATACGACACGAGCCATGTGTTAGACCCGGCTCCAGCTGGTCATCAGCCCGCGGTACTTTACGAAACGGCAGAGTTTGGTGGACAGCAACGTGCCGCTTGCACCTGCCCGTTTGGGTGGAATGCCCCGCATGCCCTCTCTGAAAAAACTCACAGCCATGAAACGCTGTTCGCAGCGAGTCCACGTTGCCCAAACGCGAATAAACTGTGTCTTCAGTGCAGGGGTGACGGGCGTCACAAGGCCGGGGAGGGGAGCCTTCCAATGTCTGTCATTCAGCGCTTCGCTAGGGAGCGTGAAACCCTGAGTGAGCTCACAACGCACGTTCCATCTGCGGCGCTACATGAGCCAAACAGACCCGCCATGCTCAGCTTCACCTGCGGCGCTGCGTGGCCCGAACAGACCTGCCATGCGCAGCTTCACCTGCGGCGCACCATGGGCCGGACAGACCCGCCATGCTCAGCTTCAACCGCGGCGCTGAGTGGGCCGAAGACCCGCCATGCTCAGCTTCAACCGCGGCGCTGCGTGGGCCGAACAGACCCGCCATGCTCTGTTCCTGGCGCCTCCAACCGCCGGCCGGCGGTGCCGCCCCTGCCTCGACCACCGCTGATCGATCGCCGACTCACCAGGACACGCCAAACGCAGCGAACAAACTCAGCGTTCGGCGGGTAAGCCGCGCCGGCAGCGAGAAAGTGCTGGCGTTCCACGAGCCCGGCCGCGCCCAGCTGCACCCACCTTGGGCTGGGAGGCCGTCACCATCTTGGTGGGCACCTCGCTGGAGAGGACGATGGGCCACTTGTTCGGCAACACCATCATGGCGGCGATGGTGTCGACGATGACGTTTCGCAGAATGCCGCTGTGGGAGGTCGTCACCGCATTCAGAGCGCCGCCAGGGAAGAACACGACCGGGATGTGCAGCGTGGGAACACGAAACGGGGCACTCAGATGACAATACGTAGGTCACTTATACTACAATGTGGCAATGAATCACAACCCAAGGGAAGCTCTGATAGACTGGGCCACTCATGCCGTGGTTGGGGGTAATGCCGTACTCGGGTCATGACGCAAGATATTCGTGGATCCAGCGCGCCACACGCCGAGACGACGCTGTCGCCCAGGTGAGTTCAGTGACCTGCTCCAGGGTGCTCATCACGCGGCTCCACCATCACTCCGAGGCGAGCGAGAGCGAAAGAGAGCGAGGAAGAGCGAGAGGAAGCGAGGGAGAACGAGAACGAGAGCAAGAGTCATGCCACTCCGTCTGTCGGGCACAGTATGCGGGTCTGCATCATGACCACTGACAGCGGGGCAGGACGTGGAGGGGAGAAGGCTATTGTGTCGTGACGCGGCCATGACAAACGGGGCGATTCACAGCCGACCGAGGGCAACCAGCGCGCACGGACAGCGACGTGCCATCGCGTGGGAGTGCTCCGTCCCACCGGCGCCGAGCCCAGCATTCCGGTGTCGGCGCACCCCACGCTATGCCACGGGCAACTGACATAGAAACGGTGCTTCTTTACAACGTGAGAAGATATGAGAAGTGACTACCGCGGCGTAGTTGCAAGCTGGGCACCCCCACATGGAGGTATGATGTGGTCTTTGCTCACAAACAGACATCAGAAGCTCATGCGCAGTCTGGCGAAGGCGCGCGCGCGTCAGCGCACGCACGCACGCACGCGCGCGCACACGCACACGCACACACCCGCACCCACACCCACACCCACACCCACACCCACGCCCCATACCCACACAGCAGAGCAACGACCGGTGGGCCGCGCCCCCGGCACAGTTCGCTGACCCTCGGGCGGGACACGAGGCAGCGCGGATCAGTCCGGCTCCACGGCCGCCCTGCACGCCGCTCACTGACCTGAGGCCGGGCATATCCAGCACGTCCGCCACGCCAGCATGTTGAACTCGATGTCCGGGTTGTTGAGGAAGAATACCTGCATGCCGCCAATGATGGGGATGGTGCTGATGAGCGGTTTGTAGACGATCCGCATCACACCGTGCAGCTGGCGGGGAGAGGAAGTTCGCCCCAGTCCAGAGGAACATCGAGGATCGCAGATCCACAACCGGCCTCCTCACCGCAATGTCGTAAGTTCGAGTCCCGCTACCGGCTGTTTTTCATTCAATAACTCAGCTGACAGAACGCACCGTTCCTAACACGACTTGCAAGCGTGGCGCAACAGATGGGACACGATACGAAGGTGTCGGTGGTATCCCAGCGGCACAGCTGGTGAAAACGCGTGCAGCTGTGCGGGCGCCGTTCGCAACTGCCCGCCACTGCTCGCAACTACTCACAATGGAGACACGACTGAATAGCGAGGAACCATAGCGACATCTGACACCGTAAAGGAGGGCTACTAGCATCAAAGATCAACGACAAGAATGATCTCATCAGGTATCCTATCCCCTTCCTGTCATCTAACCGTGGTCCAGCGTCTTCTAAGCCTGCGTACAATCCGCAATGACCTCACACGTCTACACAATCAACAGGATCGGACGATAGTTGCCGACCGCGAAAGACACCCCCTGCCTCTTAGACCGGATCCACCGCCCCGAACCTCGACGTTGGCGCAGACCTGCTGCTGCCCCCGCCCGCTCACCTGGAAGTCCTTGATTCCAGCTGACATTCTGCTGAAGCTGCACTCGATGCGGGAGTCGCCGGCGTAGAAGATCTCGACGTCCATGATGATCTCGGAGCGCTGCACGTTGTCCGAATAAACCTTGACGCCGCCCACCCGCGGAGCCTGCCCCGCAGGAGCCGGTCTCAGGTCAAGCACCGGTCACGGCCAGCGGGCTGGGAAGCTACAGACAAACGAGGCGTTTCCCTAACACCGGAACGACACGCTTGCGGTGAAAAATAGACCTGGACGGGCGATCAGGCGCGCAGGCTAATGCAGTCGTGTCACGCGTCGACACTGAAAAACCACTGCCGTGTTTTAGATCCCATCATGTCTTTCGACGGGTGAGAAATTTGTGTAGCCACACCCTCAAAGGAATAACAGCAATATATATATATATATATATATATATATATATATATATATGCATGCGTGTGCGTGCGTGCGTGCGTGCGTGCGTGCGTGCGTGCGTGCGTGCGTGCGTGCGTGCGTGCGTGCGTGCGTGTGTGTGTGTGTTTGTGTGTGTGTGTCTATATATGGGGCCATGGCGACGCACTTAGAATTATCTTATCCAGCAGTGGCCACAATTAACCAACGCTTGTAATCGTGATACATCCGTGGATTGCACCTTGATGTCCAGTTTGCAATGGAGACTGTCCGATCCAACGTCACTCTCGGCGTTTCAACATGTGATTCAAAACAATGTGAAACCCGTATTTTCCAAGGGTCCGTATTACATACCGGCACAACACAGTCACATCAAAGGCTGATAAAGCGTTACTCACGATATCGCCCAGATATATTTTCTCAAACTTGAAGTTGTTAAGTTTGTAGCCGGACATGGTAGTGGCCAAACTATGCTCGAACTGAGTCTTCAGTAGGTTCTTCACGTAGTCACCAACGTACGGCCACATCTGCTTCAGCATCTGAAGAATCATCCACGATCTCTTTAAGTCAGGAAACTGGCGACAGAACTCATCAGACTGCAACAGTAGCAAATGAATTCAAAATTGAAAATTTCAAATGATGCAGCTTACAAAATTGGAAGAAAGGGTGTAGCACACATGGGCATTGCCTACCTTGTTCAGCCATTCTGCTCTTTCAACGTCCGGGAAATGTACCTGTACAGAAATGGAAAAATACGTCACCGTACATCCACAGGGAACCCTGTTTTCAGCAGAAACAGGTATGAACTTGAAAAATATGTGCACTTGTCTAAGCTGAAACAAAAGTCACGCGGGTGTCAAGTAATCCTGGATGTCACAATGCACTGTTCGTCGCGGTATCACCACGGGCCGCGGCCGGCTTGCCGGGCCGCAAGCGCACCCCACTCACCCAGGAGGGCAGGTCCTGCAGCTTGGCCAGCGTCACCTGCTCGCTGTTCAGCGCGATGGCGCGCGCCAGCGCACGCTTGTTGCGCTTCTCGCGGCGCCACTTTTCGCGCATCACCGACAGGGATGATGCCACCCAGCAGCCAGGCAGGCGACAGCTCCAGGTAGCCGATAGCATAGATGCCGAGGATGGCGGCCGTGCGGCGTAGGAAGATGATGCCGAGCGCCGAGGCGCCGCCGCTGCCGCCCTCACTCATACTCGCCTGCTGTTGGCCTGCAGCGACGGTCATGGGTGACACTGACAATCCTACATACTGGGTTTGTGATTCGGATCATGACAAAACCATGCACACCATCCAGTCCACAAGCAAATGATGCAGGCAGAATAAGGTCTTAGAAAATGGTGCACTGGAAACAGAGTGGAGGCAGGACAACCAAGAGGCCGTTAAATACAGCAGAGCTCTGCACATTAATCATGTAGACACAGCCACTCTTTGCAAACAAGATGAAGATGCAAATAAAAGCTGAAACCTAAACACACACTGAAGGTATAAAATTGAGTTACACCACATGATTCTGCATTTAATATTCAAGATAAGTATCAATGCTCACAAAGAAACCAAAATGTTTTGTTAATGCCCATACAAAAATACCCAAGCAATAAAACATGGCATGCTACGCATAGCCTAGCAAAATTAATTCAAGGCACTGCAGTGCACCAAATATTCATAGTTGTCCTAGCATATGAACCAGGGTATCTGATGCACAGAATGCTTCATCATTTTTGTCTTAAGGAAAAAATACATATCATTTTATTTGCACATGACAATATTTCATTGTCCCAATACTTTAGAAGACAAAATCCTTCAACATTTGTTTTCCAGAAAGATAAAGGCCAGTGTTCTTGCACATAACAAATAAAGATAAAAAGCTTCAATATTTAAATTTAAGAAGAATATAGGCTAGTGTTCTGCACATAACAAAATTAATATGTTGCTTTAAAGTCAAATAAGTTAGTTCTATTTTCAGTAGTTTCAATTTTTGCAGCATGAACTCAAGATGCATTTTCATCAGGCTTGGAACTGTAAAGGAACCAACCAGCATGACCAATACTATCCACAACACTGATGGCACCAATTCATATTGGAAATAAAGTTTGAGATGATTCAACCTGTACATCCAGTCCATAACACCACACAAAACTACAGATAATAGGATATATTCATAACCAGCTCAGTGAAATAAATGTACAGTGGACAGTTCTACATAACCTAGCTATGAGAAATGCCAGCCCCACATCATATTTTCAGTATTATTATACTTGTAACTGCTGATGCCTACAAATTGTTTCATCTTGAGCTGATGCCAACAGCATCAACCACACCTAATTAACTAAATTAAGACCACCTACCTGCCTATGTACTTACCCCCCTACCCATCCACCTGCCCACAGTAAGCCTTATGCACATATTTTTTCAATGGCATATGAGGACAGAACCTGGTAATTGATGGGGCCCTAAGCTGTAATGTGGGCTTCAGAACCTTGCCAACACAGAAGGGAACACAAAAGAAGACTGACAGGCTTCCAGACTAATTGGAACCCAACATTGTGCCTATGGGCATTGCATGGGAGCAATGCATTAATACTCTGGTATGTCTCCCCCAGATTGCAGCATCTTGTTGTGCCTTTGAGGCATAGCCTTTGGGGTCCAATTGCAAAAAAAAATGTTTACATCAAACATTACAGGCATACCAACCAAGCAGCTGCAGTAATTTCAGGACAGGTAAATTAAAAATTTAAGAACTCAGGATTTGGCCCACAGTTAGCACTAATTACAGTGCAAAGCCTGCTAATGTTTTCAGCAGTTGTGATGGCACTGATGATTTATTTCACTTAATTGATGATGACCTTGATTTCAAGCACAAATGCTCTAAAAAACATTAAAAACTTTCAAAATTTTCATGAAATGAAAAACAGCACAATCTGTTCTGGACAAGATTGGCCCATGCATGTCAGCACAACATAGCACACACAAGCGGCCCGTGGGTGCCCTGCACACAGGATGGCTTTTTTGCAAACTGACCACACTTAAGGGGGCTGGGGACCCGTACCCCATTGTGTCGTACACACAATATGGCTTTGAGCCATGCATCTGCAGGAACAAAATGTCTCTGCATCCCTACTTACATTCCCCTACAGAGTTTCCCCACTAATCCCTCCACTTTTGACCCGAAACGAAGGAGAAAGACGATGAAGACGCACACACGCGTACG